CTGTGCGCTCACATTTGCAAGCCGGTAGCGAAGGTAAGTTGATTTCACCCCTGGTTTAGAGATGCTTATCCACATTTCAAGACAAAGATCCTGATAGTCAAGGGTGATACCAGAATTTAAGGAGAATTCAAAACTTCTGAAAGGCAGCAGATTAAGACTGTATTTGGTTTTAGCAGTGCTCCGTATTCATTTCAGTAAACACTAAAGCCATGTTTTATTGCAGGTGCTGTTCACTATATGTGGGAAACCACTTAGAAGGCCTATGAGGTTACACATGGATGTGCTCAACACACTTGGGCTTGCAGTGCAATGTGCTGTTGCTAACAGCAACCGCCTGGAGATTGTTTGACTCACGGGAAACTTTAGAACAGAGAGGATTCTAAGAAACTTCATAAAAAAGAGAAGTGTTTACCGAGCATCAATATGAAAAAGTCACTTTGGCTTCCAGAAAGCTGTTGAGGTTACCTGAACAGAACTAATGACTGAAAGAAAGAAAAAAGTATTTTGTAACAGAGAAAATAGAACATGAAAAACAACCAAAGAAAGAGGGAAAACAAGGGAGCCAGTTTAGTCTATGATACTAGGTTAGAAACTGGGAGACGGTGAGTTCTAGTCCCACTGTAGCCATGAAAGCCAACTAGGTGACCTCTCAGTCACTTTCTCTCAGCCCAACCCACCTCACAGGGCTGTTGTTGTGGGGAAAATAGGAGGAAGAAGGAACATTAGGTAGGTTTGTCACATTGAGTTACTGATAAAGTAGTAAAGGCAAGATAAAAATCTAATAAACAAATGATGGCATATCACCTTTTCATCAGAAAATATGGTAGTCTTTTTCACTACATTTGTTTCAGGATTTATACACCTGTGTTGAGGACAGAACATGGTGGTATTAGAGATGGATACTAAGAGAAGCTACTCATCTATCCAGGTATTCATGGAAGGAATCCATCCATCTTAGGTGATATTCAGCAGGTTCTGACCAATTCTGGAGAACCGGTAGAGGAAATTTTGAGTAATTCAGAGAACCAGTAAATACCACCTCTGACTGGCCTCACCCCCATCTATTCTCTGTCTCTCTAGTCCCAGCTGATTGGGAGGGAATGGGGATTTTGCAGTATCCTTCCCCTGCCATGCCCACCAAGCCATACCCATCAAGCCATGTCATGCCAACCAAGCCACGCCCACAAAGCCACGCCCACAGAACTGGTAGAATTTTTTTTTGAACCCCACCACTGCATCCATCCAGGAATGAGACTGGTGTGTTTGTGATACTGTGATTTGCTTGTGTGTAGAAAGAGTCAAAGCAACACTTCTTCACCATGAGAGTAGCAGGATCTTCATAAATTCACCAAGTCCATTCATGTTCAGAACCCAGTGAGATAACCAGAGGAAGTAAATAGGAAGAATACAAAAAAACTCCATGTAGAGCAAGGGTGTCAAACTCAAGGTCCGCAGGCTGGATGCATCACATGCTTGCCATGCCCACCTCTCGGATTAGGGAAGGGGGAAAAAGTCCTGATACGTCACATGATGACGACGTGGTGACATGAGTTTGACAGCCCTGATCTAGAGCTTTCTCTACAAAACTCAGCTCCTTTTGGAGAAGATAGTGTGTACCTCTAAGCATTGTTTGTAAAAGGTTTTGGAAATCAAAGCAATACTTCTTTAGATAGAACACAGTCCAAAATATTGATTGGGAAGTTAGGCCAAATTCCACATCACATCAAAGATATGGGTTTGAAATTGATCTCCAAGCATTCACAGCAAGGTAGTTTGCTTCTGCTCTGCCTTTTGGCCCTCCTAAATGCATTTTTTAGTCTTCTCCGCTTCTTCCTTGCCATCCAATTAAAAGACACACACACACACACCCCTGGGTTGATCTGCACTTTCTAAAGAAACTCAGCTGTCTTAACCCCATCAATCTCCAACTTTCCCACACTGTGAGCTCAACTTTCATTTCACTATAAAGCAGGGGACCACAACCATTTTTTGTTTTTAGTGTAATTTTCCCCCTTCTGCTTTCTCTCAAATTTTTCTTCTTTTCCTTCCCTTGGTTTTTCTCCAGCTCAAAACAGGAAAAAGAATGAGGATGTTTGTGGTTCGTCTGGGTCTTTTTCCAAAACTGAAACTGTGTTTTTGAATAATTCAGTTTTGGAAAAGGGACAAAAAAAGGGGGGCTGAGCACAGATGGGCTTAAAATAATTCAGTTTTCAAAATGACCAGAAATCCCCAAACTCTAGCTAAGGTCATTTGTGCTTCTGGAAAGTAGAAATGCAAACATACGTGTCAGAAAGGAACATAAAAATTGTTTTTCTAACCCTGCACATTGGGAAATGGATCTCTCCTCATTACACAGAAGAAACACACTGAATAAATAAATGCACAAATAAGCAAATTATGTATACATGAATTCCCGGGCTGAAATAGATGTATAATATTGCATGAGAAGGATTTCTAAACTCCAGGGCAATTCTGCACAGTAACGTAAGCTGCTTCTCTCTTGTGATGCTGCTGGCTAATATTCTAAAACCAGTTTTTAAGAATTTCAGCCCAGAATAGGCTGGCACTTACCATATTTTTCGGAGTATAAGACGCACCCTTTTCCCTCAAAAAAGAGGCTGAAAATCTGGGTGCGTCTTATACATCGAATACAGCATCTTTTGCCTCCTGAAACCCCACCCCTTCACCAAAATGGCCGTGGAGAGCCTGTAGAAGGCTTTCAGAGAGCTCGTGGGCACTGGGGAGGACAGAAATGAGCAAAAAACAGCCCCCCCCTGCCCCCAGGAGCACTCTATAAGCTTCCATAAGGTTATGCATGCAATTTTGACAAAAAAATGGACCATTGTTTGCTCGTTTTTTGCCCCCCACCCCTCCAGGAGCACTCTGCAAGCCCCCCCAAAGGCTATTCATGCCTTTAAAAAAAAACGGGCCCATTTTCATGAAAAATGGGCCGTTTTTGGAAGATTTGCAGAGTGCAAAAACTTTTTTTTCCCTTTCAGAAAGCTCTTTAGTTAGAG